TTTAAATTTTTTTACACAATAACTCACAAAATCAACAATATGTAACATATTTTCTACAATAATTACCCCTTATGAATTAATTTTTCCCTTCCAAAAGTCCGCAACTTCATTCATCTCCTTGATCTTGGCCTCATCTTCTCCGATCAACATGTCGTACAATTTGTCAATTTTCTCACCGATGCGTCGTGTCATTTTGAGGTTGTGAAGAAAGGCCTCGGTAGCACCATGGACCCTGTATACAGACACTTGGATGTTTCGCGCATGAAGCGCCCGTTGAATGGTAGCAATGAAACGATCCGTCCAGAGCCGCTTTAACACCTCATCATAATGCCGCCGGAGGAAGTAGTCAGGCATGTCAAACAGACATTCGTGTTGCATCTGGCTCGGGTGGTCCGTTTTACATCCATTACAAATGGAACTTCTATATCTAAATAGAACTTTCTTCAGCAGTCGAAGCACCACAGTTTTCACTGTGTTCACAAACACGGCGGAGAGCACCCCGTCAGGCTCATCTGTTCTTTTGGGAGAGTCTGGTGGTGAGGCGCTCGGAGGCGAGGATGTCGAAGAAGGAGAAGAGGGCCAGAAGGGTGATGGAGGTGGTGAAAGAGGGGAGATGCAACCAGAGTCCGTGTCTAGCATGAAAGGGGTCCCTGGAAGCCCTGCTAGTGGTGGTGGTGAAGCAGAGGGACTGGAAGTGGCGCCCTGCGCCAGCTGTGTTGCTGCTGCTGATGCAGGATTAGTACACCACCAAGTAGGCATATTGCTCATGCTAAATTGGGTCATCACCAGATGTGTTGTAGAAGGGGTAGCTGTCTCCTCTGGCCCTGGATGTGGTAGAAGAGGTAGAGAGTTGCTTTTTCTATGAGTCTGCTGGCTCGAAGACATGGTATTTCAGATTTAGTCCTCCTTTAAATTGTGTTTTCTTAGGGGCAGGCTTAGGGGCGTTGTTGGAGGAGGAGTCTTCTGTGAACGTTAGAGTCTTTTTCATTTGCAGAATCTCCCAGGAGGTCTTACTTTTTTTGAAGAGATCTTTTAGCTTTTCTGCTTTTTCAAACATCATTTCCATCCAAACCTCGACAGGTATCCTTAATGAAGTCTGAAACACGCCACATTCAGTATTGAAATACTGCAAGACAAATTCATCCAAGGCTTCATCTCCTTCACTCTTCTGATGGCTTGCACGGTAGAACCATCTACCGGAAGCTGAGCTTTTTGTCTCCCAAACACTACAGGAAACAATTTTTTTAGGAACAAACACGGGTGGAACTTCCTGCTTGATTCTCACAGTTGTTTGAGTCTCCTTGTCTTTTGTAGCAGGTTCCTCGGACGTCGCGGCTTTCAGATTGTTTAAAACCAACAGAGTCAGCACAGCCCAGTCCGTTGATGTGAGCGTTGCTTTTGCTGTGAGGGGTCCAAATGTTTCACCTTTCTCCAACTGGTAAAAACAAAGTTCGTTTACATCATAATTGAATGCATACCCCCAGACACGTCCTGAATCTAAATTCCATTCCTCATGAAGTGTATCGGGTGGCGGCGTCTGGATCCGACTCAAGTACAACACTCGTTTCTTTGGGGCTCCTCCTGGGGTTGAGTTTTGATAACTCGTTACAGGTGTCTGGCTGATCATCTTCGAATTGACTGCTCTCTTGCTCATGTTTAGGTTGTTTTGGAATAGTTTCGTTATATGTTTCTGAATGACTAAATGGACTCCTTTTATTTTCACAGACTCCCATCATTGGCCTATGGTAACCCCTCCTAGTCTCTTGTCATTGGCTCATGGAAACTCTAGGCTACAGCTTTGGAGTGATAATGATGGCAAGTTTGTAAGACAAAGCAATAGCAAAGTAATTTGGAACACTCTCTTATTTTGCTGCATGCTGTTGAAGGTAATTTGTAATGCTGTTTAATTTTTACTCACCGTTTACCATTTTACTGCTTTACTGTCATTATTTCAATTTATTCTTCACTTGTTTACTGATGGTAAGTTTGTCACACAAAGCTTTAGCAAAGATTTTGAAGGTAATTAAAAAATGCTGTTTAATTTTAACTCACTGTTATACTATTTTACTGTAATTATTTCATCTTATTCTTTAGTTCTTTAATGATGGTAAGTTTGTCACACAAAGCTTTAGCAAAGATTTTACAAAGTTTAATTTTGGAACTCACTCTTATTTTGCTGCATGCTGTTGAAGGTAATTTATGATGCTTAATTTTTACTCACCGTTATACCATTTTACTGCTTTACTGTCATTATTTCAATTTATTCTTCACTTGTTTAATAATAAAGACTGACTTGATTCCAAAGAAACCTCCTACTGATCCTTTGCTGGCCCCGGAGATTCCTCCTTTTACTTATAACTCACTGCTATACTTTTTTAATGATAAATTTATTGTCACAAACACCTCTAGTTAATTCATTCAAGTTGTATTACTTAATAAAGTCTTTAAATCAATGAAAAACACACAATGGAAGGATGTACGCAACCCTCTTATCAGTTACATACAGACATATTTCCGGCTGGGGTGGGACAGGATGCACCCCCTCTTATCAGTTACATACAGACATATTTCCGGCTGGGGTGGGACAGGATGCACCCCCTCTTATCAGTTACATACAGACATATTTCCGGTTGGGGTGGGACCGGATGCACCCCCTCTTATCAGTTACATACAGACATATTTCCGGTTGGGGCGGGACCGGAAATAGCTGTCAAAAATGAGTTTGATGGAATGTCATGGATACTTCTCTCTCAAGTGCTATGTAGCTCCACATAGGGGACACAGGAAGTGACATATAGCACCTTCATGCGGCGTCGGAACCGCGTGGGAAATTCACAGCTGCACCGGCAGAGCTCCAGAATATGCAACTCGGCCGGTTCACGCGCGGACGCGCTACAAGTGCGAGGGCCCGCCCAACGCTGCTTGCAGCTTTAATTTATTTATTTATTTTTTTTCTGCAAAGTAGGCCCAAATGACATGGCCTAAACATACTCGAAAACTCACCAAAATTTGCAAACATGTCAGAACCGGTGAAAAATTTTGTATTCTACAAGTTTCGCACATGGGCATGGCAAAATGACTCGCTAGCGCCACCTAGAAAATTGGAAAAGATTAGCCCCTCGTTCACGTTCAACCTACATGTACGAAATTTTCTGGTGACATGTATCGTATCAAGACGCACAAAAAAGCCTCTAGAACCCATAGCCTAAAGTCAACAGGAAGTCGGCCATTTTGAATTTTATGGCCATTTTTGGATGATTTACACACTTCGTACTTTAACGAACTCCTCCTAGGGATTTAGTCGGATCGACGTCAAATTTCTGCTGTGCCTTGTAAAGTCATTGACGATGAAAAGTTGTGCTATTTGCAAGTTTTCGTCAATGGGCGTGTCCGTGGCGTCGATGATTCGCCATGAAACAGGAAGTTGTTGTAACTTCAGTGTACATGCTCACATCTGGACCAAACTGTACATGTAGGATGAGAGTCCCGCCCTGAACACATGTACATGCCGACATTCACCCACAGTCATAGTGCCACCTGCTGGCAACAGAAAGTGACTTTTAACGAAGCAGCCCCCGCCGCACGTTTCACCTACGTGCACGAATTTTCTGTGGTACGTGTATCTTGGCCATACGCACAAAAAAGCCTCTTGGAGCCATAGCCTAAACCCAAAAGGAAGTCGGCCATTTTGAATTTTACGTCAAATTTTGGATGATTTACACACTTCGTACTTTAACGAACTCCTCCTAGGGATTTAGTCCGACCGACTTCAAATTTCTGCTGTGCCTTCTAAAGGCATTGAAGATGAAAAGTTGTGCTATCTGCGAATTTTCGTCAATGGGCGTGTCCGTGGCGTGGCGTCAAAAATCAACTCTTCGCCATGACACAGGAAGTTGTTGTAACTTCAGTGTACATGCTCACATCTGGACCAAACTGTACATGTATGATGAGAGTCCCGCCCTGAAAACATTTACATGCTGACATTCACCCACAGTCATAGCGCCACCTGCTGGCAACAGAAAGTGACTTTTAACGAAGCAGCCCCCGCCGCACGTTTCACCTACGTGCACGAATTTTCTGCGGTACGTGTATCTTGTTCAGACGCACAAAAAAGCCTCAAGAACGCATACCTTAAAGTCAACAGGAAGTCGGCCATTTTGAGTGTTGGACACCTACTGGCAACAGGAAGTGACTTTTAACGAAGCAGCCCCCGCCGCACGTTTCACCTACGTGGACAAATTTTCTGTGGCACGTGTATCTTGT